AAGACATACAACTAGTTGTGTAACTGCAACAGCAGCATCTTTATTCATAAATGGTATATTGGAAGATAAATGTCAATAATGACAAAGAGAAATGTCTAAATATTGGAAAAAGTACCTTGCTATTGAAGGGTCTAAAAATATAAACTTCGTATCTACTCCTAGAAATATGTCACCATTATTATTAGACCTTGCAAAGAAAATTTGCTGCTGCGTGCCTTCAAGTTCTTTTTCATGGCAACCATGTCAAAGAGTTTATTGGCAAGATTTGTTCAAAGGGGGTTTAACCTAGCTTTCCTCTGAGGCTGAGAGTGACTTGCCCAAGATCATCTGATGGATAGCTATGGCTGAGTGTGCATTCATTTCCTGGTCCCCAGATTCACTGTCAAACATTCAAACCACTACAACAGTGTGGAACAAACTGACACAGACATATGAACCAACACACATTGGGTAATGTTGAAAAGTTCATTGAAAGCATCCCCTAAAAGGATTGTCTGGCCTTTAGGTTTTTAACAGTTGTGTTACTGTTATTGTTGCTGTTTATTTTCTGTTTAAGAGTTTTATTTTATTGTTATGTATTACTGTTGTTATTGTTTTTACTGATGTACTGTGGGCTCGGCCTCATGTAAGCCGCACCGAGTCCCTTGGGAGATAGTAGCAGGGTATAAATAAAGTTTAATTGTTATTATTATTTAGCAGATGGGCCTGGGTTTGACAATAGTTTGCTAATCTCAAAAGAGAGAAAGCAGAGCTAAGAACCTCTTCAAAGAGCACCTGATATGACAGCCTGGGGCAACAAACAGACATTTGAATTAGATTAATATGATTTGGTTTCTCTAATAACAATTACTTGTAGTCTTATAGCCAGATAATGCTATTAGACCTTGAGAAACACAATAAAGCACCTGGAGGGAGGTTACTTTATTGTGTTTAAATAAACGCAGGTTAACACAGAAAGAGATTCAGGAGTGCTTACTTGTCACTGGATTCCTACTAACCAAACAAAGTCTTCATCAACAGCTTTTGTGAAAAATACACAGCATCTCCCTTCTTTGTAATCAAGCACTTCATGGGAAGACAGATAGTTGGAACATTACAAATATAAATGTGCATGCCTATGTAGAGAGAGATGTATACAGGCGTGTGTGCATAACAGGTGCTCTATATAATACAGAAACAGGACAAGTATGGAGGCAGAACCATTTATGCAACCAACATTTTATTTATTATTTATTATGCTAGGGGCCCACTTCATAAGTTCCTCTGTTCTATGCAAAACAGAACAGAATGGTTACAGCTCATATATTTTTTCAGCCCGCTCCTTAACAAATGTTCTTTGATTATATGCACAAGAGTAACAACAACAATAACGACCTAAACCAGGCATGGGCAAACTTCAGCCCTCCAGGTGTTTTGGACTTCAATTCCCACAATTCCTAACATGCCTGACCTAAACAGATGAGTGCACCAAGCTTATCCACTAATTTATCCCCAGCTTACATTATGAGAAGAAAATGGGTTGGAGATAAGGGACTATGGTTTATATTCTGGAAAGCTTGATCACCAAAGCGATGCCATAAAATGGTATAATCCTCTTTTAGTCTTAAGTAATGAGAAAGCCCAAGAAAGCCCAAGCCCAAGCCACCAGTACCTAAACAGACAAGTATTTGAATTGGGGACGCTCTTGGGGCAGGCTCTTCCTCCCCACTTTCCAAGGGCCAAGGATCAAAAAGAGCTTGGGTTGAATTTGCATTTTTGTATAATCAATTTCATACCTCCTATGACTGACAGTCGGTCAAAGCACATCTTCCATCAGAAATATGTATAATTCAAAGGCTTTGGTGGATTTCAATCAAGAAAAAAAGGTAACACAAAACTATGTGTACAATTGAAGAATATCTATTATTTACTTTTATTGATTTATTATACAAGAATAAGCCGTCAGAGGTCTTCCAAATGTTTCTTGACTGTAATCCCCAGCATTCCTCACAATCGGTTTACTTGCTAGGATTGAAAAGAGTGCAGGCTAACAATGTCTTAAACCTCACTTGTCTTGCACTTGCCATCTGGTTTTAGACAAGCTTCTATTTACTAACCTGAACATCCTATCATAAGAAAAAAATGTGTCCTGAAATGGGTTTTAAGCAACTTTTAATGTGAATATAAGTAATTTTAATGTTTGTATATATTTATGGTTTTATGTCCTGACATTGAATGTTTGTCGTATACATGTTGTGCTCCACCCCAAGTCCCCTGTGGGGTGAGAAGGGCGGAATATAAATGTTTTAAATAAATAAATAAATAAAAATAAGAACATTACTGAAACAAATGCTAGACAGTGTTTCCTAATATCTCGACGGTAGTAGGACACTTCTCATCTTTTGGCAATAGAGAGAAGTCTGTCTTGGTGCAAATCTTCTTCATGTAGCTTTTTTTCCAGGTTTTATTTTAGTTCTGCAGATAGCAACACATGCTCCAAAGAAATGCAATTTCTTAAGGTCTGACAAAATACCAGTCTTACACATCAGTGCACACTTCCCTAAGTAACAGTATTTAAGACTGCACTATAAGGTTCCTTCCTCTACTGGCCTAATTGAAATATTTCCTATATCTCTCTCAAGAAAGGGAAAAAACACAAACTTAATACCGGTGCATATTGCTCTGGCATGGAAAGCCTAATACAAAGGAATAATAATAATAATAATGATAGATAGATAGATAGATAGATAGATGAAACTATGTTGCTCTGGCATTGAAAGTCTAACTAATAATAATAACAGAAAGATACAACTACTGTATGTTATTCTGGCATAGAAAGCCTAATATAAATGAATAATAATAATAATAATAATAATAATAGAAAGATGAAACTATGTTACTCTGGCATGGAAAGCCTAATATAAATGAATAATAACAACAGAAAGATGAAACTATGTTGTTCTAGCATGAAAAGCTTAATGTAAAGGAATAGTAATAGAAAGATGAAACTATGTTGCTCTGGCATGGAAAGCCTAATATAAATGAATAATAATAATAATAATAACAGAAAGATGAAACTATGTTGCTCTGGCATGGAAAGCCTAATATAAATGAATAATAATAATAATAATAATAATAATAATAATAATAATAATAACAGAAAGATGAAACTACGTTGCTCTGGCATGAAAAGCCTAATATAAAGGAATAATAATAATAATAACAACAACAACAACAACAACAACAACAACAATAGAAAGATGAAACTATGTTGCTCTGGCATTGAAAGTCTAACTAATAATAATAACAGAAAGTTGAAACTACTGTATGTTACTCTGGCATGGAAAGCCTAATATAAAGTAATAATAGAAAGATTAAACTATGTTGCTCTGGCACTAAAAGCCTAATATAAACTAATAATAATATTATTAATAATAACATATTGTCAAAGGCTTTCATGGCCGGAATCACTAGATTGTTGTAGGTTTTTTTCGGACTGTATGGCCATGGTCTAGAGGCATTCTCTCCTGACGTTTCGCCTGCATCTATGGCAAGCATCCTCAGAGGTAGTGAGGTCTGTTGGAACTAAGAAAAAGGGTTTATATATCTGTGGAATGACCAGGGTGAGACAAAGGACTCTTTTCTGCTGGAGCTAGGTGTGAATGTTTCAACTGACCACCTTGATTAGCATACAATGGGCTGACTGTGCCTGGAGCAAATAATAATAATAATAATAATAATAATAATAATAATAATAATAAACATGAACACACAAATTAATAATGAAAATGAACATGCAAAAATACTGTGGGACTTTTGAATCCAGACTGACAAAGTTTTGGAACACAATACACCAGACATCACGATTGTGGAAAAGAAAAAAGTTTGGATTATTGATGTCACCATACCGAGTGACAGTCGCATTGAGGAAAAACAACAGGAAAATCTCAGCCGTTATCAGGACCTCAAAATCAAACTGCAAAGTCTCTGACATAAACTAGTACAAGTGGTCCCAGTAATCATTGGCGTACTGGGTGCCATGCCAAAAGATCTCAGCCGGCAATAAACATTGGAACAATAACAATAAACAATAAACATTGACAAAATCAAAATCTATCAACTGCAAAAGGCCACCTTACTTGGATCTGTGTGCATCATTCGAAAATACATCACACAGTCCTAGGGAAGTGTTCGACTTATTCTGTGATACGAAATCCAGCATATAGATCTCATTTGCTGTGACATACTGTGTTTTTGTGTATAATAATAATAATAATAATAATAATAATAGAAAGATGAAACTTCTGTATGTTACTCTGGCATTGAAAGCCAAAAAGAATAAGAATAATCTAAAGATGAAACTAGGAGCCACCGGTGGCGTAGTGGGTTAAAGCGCTGAGCTGCTGAGCTTGTCACAGGTTTGATTCCAGGGAGCGGCATGAGCTTCCGCTGTCAGTCCCAGCTCTGCCAACCTAGCAGTTCGAAAACATGCAAATGTGAGTTGATCAATAGCGGGAAGGTAATGGCACTCCATGCAGTCATGCCGGCCACATGACCGTGGAGGTGTCTATGGACAACGCCGGCTCTTCGGCTTAGAAATGGAGATGAGCACCACACCCCAGAGTCAGACATGACTGGACTTAATGTCAGGGGACAAACTTTACCATTACCTAAAGATGAAACTATGTTGCTCTGGCATGGAAAGCCTAATATAAACTAATAATAACAATAATAACAACAGAAAGATGAAACTATGTTGCTCTGGCATGGAAAGCCTAATATAAATGAATAATAAATAGTAATACAAAGACGAAACTACGTTGCTCTGGCATTGAAACCCTAATATAAACCTTCCTAAAGTGGGCCACAGAGTGAGGGGGGGGGCCCTCTGTGTTTTGGCCCAGCCAGGAGGGGAAGGGGCTCGACATGGGCAGGCCCTTCTCAAGGAGGGGAGGGGAGCGTTTAGCCACAAAAACCCCGGGCCCCTCTGGAGAAAGGCCGGGAGAAAAGGAGAGTCTCACCTAGATACTCCATCCCCGACTGCGAGAGGCGATCCGTGCTCAGCATCCTCTCAGTGAAGCCAATGCAGCGCCGCCTCTCCTTCTTCTGGTCTCTAGGACACCAGACGCTGCGCTCAGGGAAGTGGCCTCGTGCCGGAAACACGCTCCCGCGCAGCTAGGTTCCTAGCAGCGAAGGTGCACCCGGAAATGGTTTCCCCCTCCATTCTTGTTTTCCTTTGATTGCAGGGCTCTGCCAAAGCAGCCAAGAACTACCCCGCCTCCCTGCATTCATTTGCTGTTGTTTGAAATGTGGGTGCAATTGATATTTCCATTGGTTCCCCAACCTCTCATCTTCCAAAGGTTTTGGGGGGATTTCAACCCTCAGAAGCCCCAGGAATTCGGAGTGTTGAAGTTTAAAACACGGGGAACCAAGACACAGCTGTAGTTCAGTGATATCCAAATTTTGGTCTTCCGGATGTTTTGGACTTCAGCTCCCAACTTCCTGTTCCTTGATCATACTTGTTGGATGGAAAAACAGTCCTTTTATTGAAGATAATTGAAAAGCAGTAAGGTTAAAAAAAACACTTGAAAGAAATAGGTAAATCCGATTAGGTAGGAAGATAAGCAGGAACAAAGTAGTCCAGGGTAATAGTCCAGCAAAGTCCATAAAACCAAAGTCACAACTTCCCAAAGATAATGCAAAAAATCAGGAAACATGAACCCAAGGCAGGACTATAGAAGCAAGAATCAAAACCATGAAACAAAGGCACTTAAAACACGAATTTCCCAAGCAAAACTTCCATGAACAAGAACTTGAATCCAAACAATGCTTCATCTGACTACATATCCTGTGCTTGAAACTTTTATCTCCTTGTTATCTAAGTCTCTAGCATTCAGAAATTGGTTTTGTTTTAACTGAGAATTTCTTATCTTTTTTTTCTCAGAGCCTGGCAGACCACTGAAGCCATGTTCGGTTCTCCTGTTTTGACTAATCACCTCGCGTCTATCTATTTGCTCATTAATTTCTGCAACAGGGCCAGGTGCCGAGCTGTTTTCATGTTCCCTATCATGGGAACTCTGGTAACAATTCAGAAAGCACACCATCATCCCCACATCCCTCAGGGACATTCTCATGGGAAACTGCACTTTGCACAGAGATCTCCTGGTCATTCTCTGCATCAATCTCACTGACCAAACCATTGCCATCTTGAAACTCATCTTGAAACTCATTGACATCACTCCCCACATCCAAAGCACCCTGATCCTGGAACACAATCACAGGCTGAGCTCAAACAGAAGGGTGACAAAATAAAGTGCTTGGGATGAGAAATATATTGGATTTAAGACCAGGCTGTGGTGCAGCTAGTTAGTAGCCAGCTGCATTAAATCACGACTGACCAAGAGGTCATGAGTTCGAAGCTAGCCCATTAACAAACTAGCTTGCTGTTGACCTAAGCAACCTGAAACACATTGCATATGTCAAGTAGGAAATTTAGGTACCGCTTTATACCGGGGGGAGGTACGTAAGAATGAGGAAGTACTCCATCAAGGACTCAGTGTCACAAGTGGACGGTGAAGCAGCAGCTCCCCCTGTGGCCAGAATCGAGCATACCCTCATAAAACTGGAAAGCTGGAATGTTAAATTGCCTCTGTGCCTGTCTATATATGTTGTATGTCTAATGGCATTGAATGTTTGCCATGTATATGTGCATTGAAATTTGCCCTTAGTCCCCTGCGGGGTGAGAAGGGTGGAATAAAATTACTGTAAATAATTAATAAAGAAATGTATATTATTATTTATTAGCACACAAGCACATAAGGTCCAAGTGTCTGGTATTCATCTCTGAACATCAGGCTTTTCCCAAGGGCCTAGAACATTAGAAATATTTTCATAGAATATATGTAGTTCCAAGAAGTGCTGCCTTCTGCAGCATGTGGATTGATGTTCTGTCCAAATTAAGGCTTTTCAAGTGCTTTTTGGAGTTTTTTGTAATGCTTCCAAGAGTACATTAAAATATTAGAAATTACAATCCTTAGAAGCTAGATGACACATCAAGTACAGACCAGAAGTATCATGCTTTTACTAGTTGATAGGAAAACACCACTGAAAGTCTGTGACCACAAGACTCGAGTCTAAGGGCTCTTCCACACAGCCATATAACCCAGAATATCAAGGCAGAAAATCCCACAATATCTGCTTTGAACTGGATTATCTGAGTCCATGCTGCCATATATTCCAGTTCAAAGCAGAATATGTGAAATTTTATTTAGCTGTGTGGAGTGGGCCTCACTGGATAGTTCTCCCTGTTTCCCTTATACTCTACTACAAGGGTTCCCAAACCTTTTTGGTCATGGAACCCTTCAGAAGACATTTATTTTCTATGATTCTACTGCAAAATTACAAAGTGTGAAAGAACCCTTGGTTACTGCATATCTATTCACTTCTACCCTCCTGAGTAGCTTCCAGTCAAGGGATACTCCGCCTGGTCTGTAATTGTCAATCCTGCTGTCAAAACCTTAATCCCTCTCTGCTTTTGACATAATACTATGAGTTGCTGCACTGTTAGCAGCTTTTCAAAATTAGGCTACCAGTAAAGCAAACATTTAAAAGAGATTACTGTCATTGTTTGCTAAAAATGTGCACCTGGAGGAAGCAGCATGGCTATGTGCAATACTTACTTCTATAGATATCTCCAAGATAGAACTCTGTGAACTGCTTCAGAGTTCTTCAAAGAATCATAGAGTTGGAAGAGACCACAAGTACTATCCAGTGCAACCCCATTCTGCCATGCATTAATACACAATCTATGCACTCTCAACAAATGGCTATACACCCTCTGTGTAAAAGCCCCTGGAGAAGGAGATCCCACCACACTAGAATCATAGAATCATAGAATCAAAGAGTTGGAAGAGACCTCATGGGCCATCCAGTCCAACCCCCTGCCAAGAAGCAGGAATATTGCATTCAAATCACCCCTGACAGATGGCCATCCAGCCTCTGTTTAAAAGCTTCCAAAGAAGGAGCCTCCACCACACTCCGGGGCAGAGAGTTCCACTGCTGAACGGCTCTCACAGTCAGGAAGTTCTTCCTCATGTTCAGATGGAATCTCCTCTCTTTACTAAACATACTATGCCAAACAGTTCTTACCATCAGGAAGTCCTTCCTAATGTTTAGGAATCCATGTCCCAGTCCCTAAAACAAGCTTCGCCCCTCCTTGATCTGACATCCTTTCAGATATTTGAGCATGACCATCATGTCCTCTCTCAATCTTCTTTTCTCCAAGCTAAACAGACCCAACCGGAGCACCTGGTGGCGCAGTAGGTTAAACTGTTGAGCTGATGAACTTGCTAACCAAAAGGTCACAGGTTTGAATTTGGGGAGTGGTGTGAACTCCCACTGTTAGCCCCAGCTTCTGCCAACCTAGCAGTTCAAAAGCAGTGAATAGATCAATAGGTACTGCTCTGGCAGGAAGGTACAAGTGCTCCATGCAGTCATGCTGGGCACATGACCTTGGAGGTGTCTACGGACAACGCCGGATCTTTGGCTTAGAAATGGAGATGAGCATCAACCCCAGATTCAGACACGACTGGACTTAATGTCAGGGGAAAACCTTTACCTTTACTAAACATACCCAGCTTCCTAAGCAGCTCCTTATGGGCTTTGGCTTACAGACCTTTTACCATTTTGGTCACCTTTCTCTAAACATATTCCGGCTTATCAATATCTTTCTTGAACTGGACACAGGGTTATTCCAGGTAGGTCTAACGAAAGCAGAATAGGGTGGGGCTATGACTTTCCTCAATCTAGACATTATACTCCTATTGATGCAGCCTAGAATCACATTGGCTTTTTTAGCTACTGTATCACACTGTTGATTCCCTAATAATTTTCTGATTAATATAGGTATTTAGGGCTTATGCAGACACCACAATGCTAGACAGATGGCACAATATCATCAATGAGATGGCCCAGTTACTTTCATACCCCATTCCATTTAATGATTTCATACTAAACAAAGCAAACCACAGACCTGTATTCTGAACATTACATGTCCTTTTTACATGACGTAGATTGTTCAGTATTCATGCTGTATTATATCTTGAAGTTGGAAAACTTATTTCTGGACTACAGTCCCTAGAATTCCCAAACTAGAAGCTTGTTGTAGTCCAAAAATGATTTTTGTAAATTCTACATATAGATTTAAAAGTCATGTTTTGGTATTTACACAGTTACTTTTCTTTCTGCCATTCCCCCCAAAATGTATGGTTTGCTAATATGAGGGTTTTATTTCCCTCTTAAAACAAGCTAAAGTCTTCTTTTGGGATGCAATGCCCATTTGTGGTTGTAATAATGACAAGTTTCAGCACTACTGGCGCCTGACTGTTAATGACTCTTAAAAACCCCAAATAAAAACAAGATGTTGCTTCTGGAGCCCTTAACACACTAAACTCTGCTTATTATCACTTCCCTTTGGTCTCCCAGTGCCTCACATTAGTTATTACAAAATTGAGTGCCAAAACCACCTGCCCTTCTGAAAGTTAAGAGGTTTATCCGAGTTTTAGGGGCTTTTCCTTCCTAAGGCCGTCGTGGATCTACAGCACTTATGTTGTTTCATAATCCTGACTCTCAAAACTACTGACTACAAATCAAGACACAAGTAATGATATGTGCTCTGTATTTCAGGGCAAATTCACTTTATATGCCTTTTTAGGAGTATTAGGAAGAATGTTGAAGCTATCTAGATTGCCATTTCACATTAGCTATCCATCAGGTTCGTGCTAATTGTTTAGCAAGTTCGTAATAAATCACTTCAAGCTCCTCTATTGATTGACTCTCTGCCTATGACCAACCAGTCAAAACCAGGATGAAAACATTTGCCACAGAATCGTATAACTACATGTTAGTTGTTCATAGTGGTAAAGCGAGTTTAGGGCCACTGTAGTGGTGACTTCTCCCCACATGCTGGCCAAGGGCATCAAGCCAACCTGCTCGGGAATTCCAAGTGGCTCCTAGAACGTTATTTGTTTGTATATTGTCTCCATGTGTTTCCACAGTAAGCACAGAGGACCACATAATGCAGATCAATGTGCCATCACTAATCCTCTGAAAGAAGGTTTAGCAGCTGCAGGCTGACTTGTAGTC